ATTGTTAGGGCACAATCAATAATAATGTTAAATGAAAAAAGATAAAATGGACTTATTCATAATTAAAAATTTCTAATCAACAAAAAACTTCATTAAAGAAACATGAGGCAAGCCAAAGAAAAACAAAACAAACAAACAAAAAAAAAAACTTTGCAACACATATTCATCAGAATATATCTTCCATACATCACAGAGAGGAAGGCAAACATCACAGAATCGGTAGCTCAACAGGTAGTTTTAGACTTAAACTTCCAAGATGTCAGTGTAGAAAACAAAGCCAGGTCAAATGACTTTATTTTTCATAGAAAAACATAAAGACTGAACTGGATATTTCTGTCGTGGAAATTGTACTTGATTGCCTTGGACATATTACACACACAAATGTGATAAATTTATATCCAGTCTTGATAAGATCATTTTTTCCTCAAAGGTACAAATGTTGTTAGTAATTGATAGTTGAAAGTAGTTTGGGACATAAAGTCTCCCTTGAAAAATGTTCAGTGTCTATTGAACCAGGGACTTTGTCCTTTAAGCCAATAATCTAACAAGTTGGGGTTTCAGCAAATATTTACTGTCCCACCAAGAGCAAAAGGAATGAGGTCAATATGCAGTCTTGCAAAATGCATATGAAATTCCTATTTTCCCCACACGTAAAACCAATTTTGTGGCCTAGTCAAATGGTTGCAGTTGGGTCTTCAGTTGGGTACTGTGAATGTTTAGTGTGTAAAAACTTCCAAAATACACTTGGCATGGGAGGAAATAGAAAGAAACACAGAGGTAGATGCTTACAGCCTTCACAAATTTTTCCATCTCTGAGTTTTTGTTGCAACACCTGAAAGACACAGATACCCAGCTGGCATCCCTAGGGCTAAACTCTGTAAATGAAGTGCTAAGAACACTTTTAATTATGTCTTTTTATTTCCAGGAGTTTTAAAATAGAGCATGTGACCAGCGAGTATAGAGAAGATGCCCATTTCACTGCTAACACTGGGACTCTCGTGCCAGTCCTGGATTTCCTTGGCATGAAGTCCTCAGTACCAAACAGTTGCCTTAGAGCAACCAGTCTGAGAAAATAATCTTCATGGTGAAGAAAATAATGAAGAGGCCATTCTAATAATGACCTTATCATTATACTCCAACCCTACCCCCATCAACCAAGCATTATCTGTTCATCAGCCACAGAGGAGAATGACCACAATCAGTGGGAAGGATGAGGAAACAATAGTCACTCTGAATCAACTCACACTCTTCTCTTTCCTTATGATGATTAATTGTGTTTCTGCTGAAGCGACTGAGTAAGAGAATCAATCTTAGACCCAGTTGTTTCAAGAAACACAAAAAATACTCGTTAGATATCAGCTGTATCAAGGGTGGAGATGGAAGGTTATAGCTTCTTTTTAAAAATATCTAATATCAATTATGTGTGAAGATGAATGTGAAGCAAAATAAAACATTATCTGACTGTTTAACTCCAAGTTAACTCAAGAGGAAAAGACGAGTAACTTAGTCCTCTGACCCAATGAATTAGTGCTCAAACAATATGGAAGATCTCTTTGTCCTAGATCAGCCAGTATAATCAAAAGTTTATTCAGAGCAAATATTCATATTACCTTGAACATGAACATAACTTACTAATTTTCAAAACATCTGATTTCTTATGACTTGAAAGTTTTATAGCCAAGGTATAGGGAAATACCTTACAATATATATGGATATATATATATCACATATATAGCTGATCAGCTATGATAAAACATGAAATCTTGTCATTTATATATATCTATCACATATAACATATCATATATAATTGTGTGTAATAGATGTGTGATATATATGCACACATGACGTATAGTATATGTATATAAGCTATAATAAAAAAAAGAAACCTTACCTTTTGTGATAACATGGACGGAACTGAAGGAACTAGAGGGGATTACACTGATGAAATAAGTTAGGAGGAGAAAGACAAGTACTAGATCATTTCACCCATAGGTGGAATAGACCAAAAAAAGAGGAACTGACAAAACCAAAACAAAACAAACCCTAGAAATATGAGCACACAATTGACACCACTAGAAGGGGATGGGGAGGTGGAGCAGGAAAAGGGGGCGGTGGCCCCAAGGATGTGGGTGCTCGGCTGGTGGTTGTGTGTGGAGACTGCATGTGCAAAGGCGTGCACCCACTCCCCTAAGTCAGACACAGCTCCTCTAGAAGAACAGGAATATGAGAAGTAAGTAAAATAAACCACTGAAAACTGTCTACGTTAAAAAGAAAGTACTATGATCTCAAAATATTTAAGTTATACGCTCATAATTATAAACTGCGCTTTAAAACCCCTTGCCACACCTTCCCTGGCCCTTCCCTCACCCCAACGATAAAGCTTAAGAAAGGAGAGAGAAGGGGCAAGGCTCAGACTCAGTCCATGGGGGCAATTGCGTATTAATGCCTGGTGCTTCTGTTTACACTTCCATCACCAGAGCTGACTGTTAGTTATTTTAAGGAGGAGGTTATGCTTTAATTAACAGCACTGAGTAAATGAAAGTTGGTCGCATTTCTTAAGTATGTTCACATTTCACAAGTCTTATTTCACAGCAGTATCCCAGTTCATCTAATACTTTCATGTGCTAACACCTCCAATCAAGGAAGAAAGTCTTTAAAAAAAAAAAAACCCTAAATAATTAGTTTCCAGAGTAAAAAAACCAACAAAAACACATAATTAATGAGGAAGCTAATTATTTATGTCCAGGATATTAACTAAATGCATACACATTTTAAGAGAGGTTGAAAGGGGTAGAAACACCTTTGGCATTTAATATTTTCAACCTTGCTATTTCTAAAATTTAACAAAAGCAAGAGTTCAGGGCAATAGTTCCGCTTTTGTAGCAGTGTTCTTTGCATTGCAGCCTTCACCTGACCTCTGTGCTGTGCAAACCTTGGGGCTGTCGGAAGGGCTGAATCCATCATTTGCTCTGAGGAGCATAAACCATACAGTTCCCTCTGCTGTCCCGGCCACGCGGGCGATTTCTTTGTCACTGCTCTGAGTGGTTCTTTGTCACTGCTTCCTCCCATTTGCACGTGAACCATTTATTTCCCACCCTAATGACTTTGCCCCCTCCCCCACTTCTCTCTCTACTCAGGTAGAAGAAGCCAAAACCTGTGATGGAGGGTTTGTGCTCAGTCCGTCAAACCTGCTCCACACCTGGTTGAATGGTTTCTGGATGCCACTAAAAACCAACATTTTGTCTCTTAAAATATTTTTATCTGGCCCTCCCTGGTGGCGCAATGGGTCAAGACGCAGCACTGCAAGAAAGCCACAGACACTTCAGTGCAGGTTCGATTCCCTGCCTGGGAGGTGACCCACATGGCACGGCAGACCTCTCCTGACTCGCCCGCTGCTCCCCTCAGCAGTGTACTTCATCAGTCAGCCTGTTCTGCTCCCCACTCTGTCTCTGGTGAAGCCTCTCACCACCCCTGCACCTCTGGCCTGTACCCCAGTTCTGTATGCATAAATAAACCTTAAAAAAATATATTTTTATCTTCCCTTCTTCCTCAAAAAAATCCAAAATAACAAATGTAGGCCCTTTTGTGGATAAAAAGCAGTTAGTAAATATGGAGAAAGATCCTGCTTAGCATTCTCTTACTCGGTATTTACTGCTGATGAGGGGTGACAAGGTAGCAACCAGAACAGTCTCTGCAACAGAGGCAGCAACTTATGCTGATCAGCTTGTAATAATTACTCTTCCAAATAGTACACATGTATTAACTGGTGTGATTTTTAAGATTCCGATGAGGCACATGCTATAAATAAGGAAACAGAGGCACTAAAAATTACCCCTTCCCACATCCCAAGTCCAGAGAGTGGAACCGGCCACTCCTCAGCGATTGCCCAGACTGCCCTAACCATGCAACACTTACCCTGTGTGTTCAACTAGACCCATCTTATGCAATTTTAAGAAGAAGACTTCTGGGGTTGAGCACAATCCCCCTGTCTCTATTAACTATCTACATCATTGGGCCACACTAAAGGAAGAAAAGGAGCAAGAGAGAACACCATGAGCGAGGCTCAGGTGGGCATTCCCCAGAGGACTTCCTCGGTGCTTCTGCAGGTCCAGCAGCTCCCCTTACATGCAGCTGTACTCTCCCTAAACCACTGGCCCACCTGGTGTCCAGATGTTTTCTGTGTGTCCCTCACCATGACCATCATAACTCTCCTGACTTGAACAAGACAGCAATTCATGGTTTCAGGAGACATTTACAGGTGAGAATTCCCTTTAAATTTCACCCTTCCAGTGTCTACTCAACAGCATTCTCTCTTGCCTAGGAATTTTACGAGTGGCCTCTAGAGATAGCGTCTGGTACTTAACTGTCTAACCGGTCTAACCGAGAGGAGTAATTCAAGTGGAGGGAAATTTAGGCAAGCTTAAGAAGACTGAAGAATCTAGGACAAAGACCACCATGGGGACTTTACCTGCCCTTAAGAGGACCAGGTGACCCTCATGCTAGTGCTTCCAGTTTCCTTCTCTGCTTTGGTGCCAGGATAACAGTTCAGGAAGGATAGAATTTCTATTTTACAGAATGTAAAAGCATAAGGTATGAAAGTAACTCACAATATCAACTCCCCCCCACACACACACACATACACTTTAATTATAATATCTAGAAAGTTCTGAAACATTATGTAATCTTTCCACAGGCTTTCTGCCCACAATGTTACTCCTTCAGCAACTCTTTAAAACAACAACAGCAAAAGTATAACTCAAAAGATCAAGCCAGCTTCCTGAAAAAGAGAAAATCTGTGCGAGCTTTTGTTCCTAACCAAATTGACCATTTGGTACTTAGCTGAATGCATTTGAAAAACAAACCCAGAAAACCCTAAACATAAGACAAACATAAACAGAGCACAAATACCCTCTTTGAGAAATGCAAGTCACCTTAAGAACCCAAGAGTTTGGAAAAACATACCCACTTTCCCAAGCAAGAAAATAAGTACAAGCACTTACAGTGTCGTGGGACTTATCCCTGACATCATAGACTGTTAGTTTTATTTTGGTCTCCTCATAGATGGGATATTCAGATGGGAACGTGACGCCAGTCAGGAACAGTGGGTCTCTTGTTCCCTGTGAGACACAAGCAGACAACCCTGATTCAATAAGGCAGCAACTGCAACGGGCAGCATGTGTTGACACCCGAGAAGGCACCAAGTGGCTTGGTCTGGTAGCTTTTCTAGGAAATAGTTCTGTGAGCAGAGACCTGCCTCACCCAGGGATGCTCATGGACAAGGACAGGGCCCGGGCCCACCGGATGGGATGGCTGTTGATAGTGGCAGGCCCGGAAGCACTGTCAGGGGTGCCGATAGTCCTGAAACAGCTCATTTCATAAGCTTAGACCTCTCTTTAGGGTCAGCTGTCAGCCATTTAGAATACAAGTATGGGTCCTCCCTGGTGGCGCAGTGGGTTAAAGCGCAGCACTGAGAATCTAAAGCCGCTTCCGCATGAGTTCGATTCCTGCTTGCCCCGGAGGTGACCACAGGGCACGGCAGACCTCTCCTGACCCGCCCGCTGCTCCCCTCAGCAGTGTACTTCGTCGATCTGCCTGTTCTGCTCCCC